GGGGGGGGGGAAGAGGCTTCTAACCGGCTCTGTGAGTCAAAGGGTGTGGGGGAAGGGCCCTTTCCAGGCCTCCTTTGGCCTTTCAGGGAGGGAGGGAGCCTTGGGGCCTGGCCTGGGGAGTCCCTAGAGGTTTTGAGGTGGGATTGGGGAAGGGAGAGGCCTCAACTGGGTATAATGCCACAGAGTCCACCTTTTAAAACAGTCATTTTCTCCAGGGAGACAGATCTCTGCTGCCTTGAGTTCAGTTGTAAGTCTGGGGGGGGGGGTTTCCTTCAGGCCCCCCTTAGAGGTTGCCAAGCCTAGGCCTGCCAGCACTTTAGGGTTTCCAGTTTCCCCCCCTGGCCACCGACAGGGGATTCTGGATAAGGTTGCCAGGTCCAGGCTGGGAAACTCCTGGAGATTTGCGGGAGGAGCCTGGGGAGGACAGGGACCTCAGTGGGGTACAATGTCACAGAGTCCACCCTCCAAAGCATCCATTTTCTCCATGGGAAGTTATCTCTGTAGTCTGGAAATGAGCAGGAATTACAGGGGATCTCCAGGTCCCACCTGGAGGCTGGCATCCCTCGGCAGCACCCTCTGGGTGACTTGATACCACCTGATTTGCATGACTCAAGTAGGCCCAGCTGCTTGCTACTGTTCATCAGCAGCCACCCTATGAAAGCTGGGTTGTTGTGCAGATTAAAAGTAGGAGAGAATAATGTAAGCTGTTTTGGTCCCCACTGTGGAGAAAAACTGTAATTTTCCTAGGTAGAGGCTGTGGGGGAGGGGTGTGGAGATGGAAAGTTGCAGACAGAGAGGCAGATAAAGGTAGGTTGGCTGTTGGGTGGGAAGGAAATTGTGTTGCCAACTCCAGGTTGGGAAATTCCTGGACATTTGTGGGGTGGAGCCTGGGGAGGGTGGGATTTGAGGAGGGGAGGAATAACAGATCAGTATAATGCTATAGACTTCACCCTCCAAACCATACATGGAGGAGAGAGAAAAAGAAAGAAAGAAAGGGGGGCAGAAGGAAGAAAGAGTGTGAGACAGGTAGAGGGAGACAGGAGGAAGCAAAGGTGTGAGGAACAGGATAACCATTCCGCAAGTTTCTTGCGGGTCTCCACTTGTCGTATCTAATTCTGAACCAAGTTATAGTGTGTGTGGAAAAATCCACACAATGAATCCAGGGACAGACTAGGGAGATTTTTCTACAAGCTTGAGGAAAGCCCCAGGATTGCAGGAAAATATTAAATGGAAAATAATACTTTGAGGGTTAGAAAACCCCCAGAATCAAAGAAGCAATACCTGCTTCTTTAAGAAAACTGTGTCACTGAGATCTTGTATGCTGTAAGATCCCAGTGGCCATTTTAGAGGTCGCTATTGATTCTAAGCCTTGGTTGGTGTGGGGCAGAGAGACAGACTGAAAAAGTTAAGGAGTGGGAGGAGGAAGAAAAATGGTAGAAAAGGAAAGCTGAAGGTAGGGAAGGGCAGATGCTGCCAGAGGGTGAAACAGAAAAAGTGGATGAGACAAAAGGAAATGCTGCCAGGGAGACACAAAAAGGAAAAGCAAGAGCAAGAAGGAACAGGTTTCCCACCACCACTCCTTGCAGGTCCCCTGCTTAAAGTCTAGTGTCTTGTCTGTCTTTTGAATGTGAAGTCCAGATGTCTTTCAGGATGCAGAGTCCACACAGAACTCATTGAGTCTTGAACATAGTGTTTCCACCAGAATGGCTGTGAGAGTTGAGTCTTGTCTTCTGTGACATGCCACAAATAATCTTGGTAAAACCTAATTGGGAGAGGATCTGGTAGATCACTGTGGATTTGGGGAGGGGGGGAATGGGGGCTGTGAGCTGGCTCTTGCAGCCTTCATCCTGCCATCAGCTGACTACACTTTCTCCTGAACTGAAGGTTAATTGGACAGTCTTTCTTTAGGGGCCTGTGCTGTGGCTGCTGCCTGCCTCTTTCTTTTGTTCCCCTCCCTTCTTTCTACATAGGTAGGCTCAGTCAGAAAGCCGAGTCCCTTCTCTGCTGTAGCTGAGCATCTCTGCAACTACTTTCCTATCTGCAGAAAGCAGAGCATCTTCGTAGGATTGACTCCAGAATTCTAATGCCTGGCAAATTAGTTGTAGAACAGCCTTAATTCCTTTTGCCTGTGTTGCCTTTTTTGTTTCTTTGTCTCTCTGGTTTTAATTGCTTATGTTCAGAAGGGGTTCTTTTAATTGAGTGTGGGGTGGTGTTGGGATTGGGTTATAGATAGAACTCCACAGTATGTTGGTTCATGGGAAGGTGATGTGATCTGTGATACTGGCTCTCTTGGGAGGAGACTCTTTTTTTAAAATCAGAATACCATTGAGGGGAGAGGGATTGTTGAAGTTCTGGTGTCTGCTTTTCTTTTGTTGGACAACAGGCATTAAAAGAAGCCTCCCAAAAGATACATGCAGGACTTGATTGTTTAAGCCTATGTCACAATCAGTGTGCTGTATCATCAGCAGCCCAGCGGGAAAGAGTAAGCTTCTTGTGTTTTCTGCCATTTATTTGAAATGCCTGTCCATAGTATGGTGTACAGCTGCAAAGGGCCACTGCCTCTGGAAAATTATTTTAACCATGCTAATTGGTAGGGAGGACATCTTTCCTCAAGCTTCTAAGTTCCTGCAAGCGTTGACTCCCCATGTTCTGGTAGGTTCCCCTCAGTAGGGTTAGCCAAGCCATAGTGCTCTGGGGTTTTTGACTGCAGCTTTCTGACCTGTCATCTTTCTCCACAGAGTTGGTGCGGATGGTTCTGAGCGGCTGAAGACCACCACTGGCTTCTCCTGTGGAAATTCTCCTCCAGTTTATCCTTAACAGTTTTGTGCCTTTTTAAGCTGTGTGTTGAAAATGCTTTTTGGTTCCTTCTCCAACCTGTTGGTTTTGTTCTTGGGTGGGGGGGAGGCAGAAACACTATCTGAAGAAGGGTGCTCCTCAATCTTTGTAGAAGTGCGGAGATTGATCTAGTGGCCACCTGGCTTTTCTTGCAGTACTGTTTCTTTCCAGAAGTGTTCAGCAATTTCTCCCTCTCAATTGCTTTAATAAACTATTCCTAAAGTGTCTTGCTAGTATTGTTTATTAAATTTTGAGTTCCCAGAGTTGCAACCAGAATGTTTTTTGGGGGGGAACATAAAACTAGGCTTCAAGTGAAATTTAGCTGCTTAGAGGGGGGACTCCCTGAAGCAATGGAAATAGCTGTGGAATAGGCTCCCATAGTTTTCTGAACAAAAATTCCACTTGTTTCTGTGATATATAAATGTTCCTGCAGATTCTTAAAGACTGGCACCATCTGTCCAATAAGGCTGAACATCAAGCGGTTTCACTGCTTTAGGACTGGATCCTACTAGCTTTTCAGCTGGCTCTCCTGATCTCTATCCTCTCTGCAGCCCCTCTCCTGCAGGGTTTTTCTACCCCACATAACCATTTCAGTGGTCAAAAAAGGCCCCTCCTCCCTCTTGTCAGAAAAAAGGCAATGAAAACTGCTGTAGGGGAAGAGTTACTCTCTCTCTCTCTCTCTTAAGACGTGTGTATTGTGCCCTTAGTCAGGTCAAAGCATAATTATAGGTCATGTCCAGAAGAAAATCAACATCCTGGAGGACTGTCAAGTCTGAAGCTGTACTGCCTGCCGGTGAGAAATAAATGTGGATCAGTTTGGGGGCATGGGATGACTTTTGCCAATTCCTCCCCCTACTACAAAGAAAGCTGTCATCCAGTGGCCCCCTGACCTTGTTGAGCCTGCGGGCACTTCTGGAATTCTGACACGGCATGGTGGGTGCAGTGACAAAATGGCTGTCACAAAATGATTGCCATAGCTGAACTTCAGTGACACAACACAGACCTTTGCATTGTGGTGGGAGCTGCTGCCAATGCAACATTTTTAAAATACCTGCACAGCCAATCAGAAGCCTTGCTGGACAAAAGCCCTAGCTGGCCCCACCCACCTCCCAAAAAACATTTGGTGGGTGTCCTGGGTGTCTGCGGGCAACACACTGGTGACCCCTGCTGTAATCTATGCTGTTCAGGAGGGGTCCCTGACATGCAAGTCCTGCTATGAGAGCTCTGCTGCTGTGTCTTGTAGGCCATAGCTCTCCGAGTGATAAAATGACACGCACACACCCCATAAGTAAATGCTACTTACTGCCACCCAGCCACCTTCACTGCAGTCCTGTGCTGCTCCCTGAAATGTCTCCATGTTGGAATTTCTAGCCATAGAAAATGGTAATAATTCCTACCTGTTAAGATCTTTGTGGGCTCAGTTTACAGTATCTTATTAAGACAGTTTTAAAGGCAGCAGAAACTCATCTTGATGGGATCCGGTGATTGAATGGGCTGGCAAAAACAGTGAGAGCATTGGAGAGAAATGTAGTGTCTCATTATCAATGAAAGCAAAATGCAGTGGCCTGAACAACAGGGCATGTTGGCATGCAGCAGCAGCCAGTGAGTTAAGTGCAGTTTTGACTTTGAAATGAGCATGGTTACCTTCCTCTAGTCCAGGGCTTTAAACGTATGAAAGCAAACAACTGCAGATGGTGTACTATTTAAAGCTGCCACAGAAGGGATCAGCAGAGGTTCTGAGCTGTGTGCCTTTTCTGAGACAAAATTTCACCGTTGAAGTTGCTAGGTTAAGAGGGCCTCCAGCCTAGCATCTCACAGCAGCAGGAGATGGGAATGTACTTCTTCAGAAGTGTAGAGGGAAGGGTTAGGTTAATTTCAGTTCCTGGAGAAAGAACTTCAAGCCCTTTGAACAGTACCTGGTCCTCCTCCCCGTGTGTATGTGTTAAATGTGATCCCAAAGCCCTGATAACCATTCTTGGAAACATTTGTGACTTTACCAGTTTATGGACTGGATTTGTTTTAGTTAAGCAAGAATACATGGGAGGGATTTAGCTTAAAAAAAACAACAACCCTTCATGCGCCCCTGCCAAACTTGGCTTCTTTGCTTCCACAAACAGAAAGGAAGGCAATCCTCCCCCCACCCCACCCCCGGGCATCTCCTAGGAGCCTAATATGGGAGAATGCCTGGCACAGAAGTAATGGCACCAAATAAAGGCAACTACAGGGGTGCATGTGTGTCTGAAGTAAAGATGCCAGCCTCCAGGTGGGGCCTGGGGATCCTATGAATTACAGCTCATCTCCAGACTACAGAGATCAGTTCCCCTGGAGAAAATGGATGCTTTAGAAGGTGGACTTTATGGCACCCTACCCCAAAGAGGTCTCTGTCCTCCCCAGGCTCTACCCCCAAATCTCCAGAAATTGCCCAGCCTGGATCTGGCAACCCGACCCCTTCACCCTCCACCAGCAGTTAGTGGGGACCTGGCAACCGTAGTCTGAAATGAGGCAGGACGGAGTGGTTTTCAGAGGAAGAGGGACAGGAAGAAGAACGGATTCAACCGCCTACCAATTGTAACTGGGCTGGTGCAGTGGACTGTTAAAATTCTGAGGTGACTGGGACACAGTAAGGACAACCAGACTTCCCTAAAAACAGCAACAGAGCCACCGCTACCGATTCATTCATGTGAAGCCAGGCCAGCATCTCTCGTCAACCATGGCTGCTACTGTTCCTAGCCATAATAAGAAGTAGATATCTAGAGGAGAAAGCATCTATAAATACTCCCGGGTATAAACTTCAGCACACGTTGGACTAGAAGTCCCTTGAATAATCCTTCTTCACCCCCACCCACAACACTACAGTTTCCCATTTGGGAGAAGGGGAACGTTTATTGTAATTTTTTAATTGTTTTTAAAAAAAGCAAGACAGACACATATGGGGGGAGTTAAACTCCCTTTTCAACCAGGTTTAAAATCAAAGCCCTCTATAAATAGCATTGGCTGTTTGGAGATAAGAGTCCCTCCCCCTCACCAATTAGAAACACCTTTAAATAAAAAGTCTTAGTACAACCGGATACAAAAAAAGCATTGGGGACAACAGCTGGGACAGAGACACACAGGGGAAGGGACGTCAACAGAGGCAGATTCTTTTCCTCCTTGGAGAACTGTTTTAAAAACCCACCCAACCAGAATCCATGTTAAACACGATTTGGGGGTTCTGTCCTTCCACCTGGTGACAGCTGGTCAAGGAGGCCTCCAGAAGAAGAGCAGCTCATAGCTTCTCACTGTGTGGGTGGGACTGGCGTGGCCGTGCTGGGGCTGGGAGCGATGGGGTCCGACTGCAGTGACGGTCCTTGATCTGTGGGGTGGGGGTGGGGTGGGGAGAGAGATGGCACTTTAACACAGGTTGGAATGATACACAAAGGGTGCATAGCTGGCAGATAGCAAGGACCTCAGCCTTGTTTCCTTTGCATGCTCAGCAAAAAAAAGACATTTGACAGTCAGTGAAGTTTCTGGTCTCATTAGCTAGAAACTGGGAGCAACTTCCTAATGGGAAGGGAATTTGATTCAGTGCTCTGAACAGCTGGATTCCCTGTCCCAGGTGCTACCGGGCAGTCCTGTGTGGCCACATGCTTCACGCCATCAGAAATCCATTTTAGAACAGGGTTAGATCACTTTTCCCTAACTCATTGTCCTAAAATGATACGATCCTTAAAAACACTGCACTATTTGCCAGTCTCAGCCAGACCCTGAAAGAGAGCGCTCAGTAGGCTAGCACTGTACCCAGCTGCTTTTTTGCTACTTTTTAGTTTCCCTTGTTTGTTAAGAAAAGGATTTGCCATTCTACTAGTGAAACAGATTCTTTTGTCACTCAGCTGCATTATTTAGTACCACCCTTCAGCTGTCTGAGAACCTACAATCTCATTTTTAACTGACTAGCTCAAACTGTTTGAAATAGAACACTAAAGGAAGGCTAAGACGACGCAAGATTCAAACACAGTACCTATGGCTCCAGCAAAAGTAATTAAAAACCAAGCCACACTAAAAACACTATTCATAGGAGGCATTTTTTCCTCAAGCACCAGCTGTGCAAAATCCCAATTTCCACAGGTTGTCCTATCTGATGCTTTGGAAGGGAAAAAAATCCAGAATCTTTTGACAAGTATTTTCATAAACCCAAATAAGTCAGATATTTAAAAATATAAAAAGTTGCAATTCAACTGCAAACTTCAGAATTGCCATTTTTTTAAAAGGTAATTTTCTCACCCTTGGTGGGGGTGGAAGGGGGTGGTAATGAAGATTTTTTAAATTAATTATGGTTATATGACATCAGAGTACAGGGTGCCTTAAGAGCTTCATAAGCAAAAACTACTGGTCCCTGACATTCTAAACATGTAGGCAGTTTCTCTTAGGAAGAGATCAAAGGCAGGACAGACTTGTAAAGGCACTTCTCTCTCCCTATATTTCCTTGTTCTTTTATCTTTACCCTCTTATTAGCAATCCCAGATTCTTCACTTCACTAGGTCCTGGCAAAAAGGAGAACACAGAATTTGAAAATGTGAAAGCCTAACTTCCAGTTCTGTGTAGATATTCCTGAAATGCACACAGAAACAATCCCACATAATCATGTTTTAAAGTACTTCTCCCTAACTAAATGTGTTGTATAAAACGAGAAAACTTTTATAAGCATTCTGCTGCTTTACAAAATTATAATGATAATCACACAAAATGACTTCAGATGAACTTCCGACTTTTGAAATAAAAATACACTGTAGATCCAGGGAGCGTAAATATCTTCAAAATATTCACCACTAGAAGAGCACCAATTCCCCCCCCAAAATCCCAGAGGTTTTTGTCTGATCTTTCTTAAACTTCCTCTGAATGACTACGTTGCCTTGGAGAAGGGTAGACCTGGGCTCCTAAGGGGACCTTGGAGATTTCTCCCAGTCCATCTTTTGAGATGGGTGGGTACAGTCTTGTCTCTGAACCACACTCAGAGATCCCTCGGGCTAGGCAGACCTGGGCTTGAGGGGCGGGGGGCGGAGGAGATGTCACAGCCACCTCTTTGGCCTGGAGGAACTGGGCTCTGGGAGGGACTTATAGCACCTTCCAGTCAGCAGAGCCAGCTTTGGATGGGATATGTGGGTGGGCCCCTGCTGGGATTCCGCCAGGCAGCTTGCTTGCTGGCAGCCCAGTGGGCCCATCCCGTGGGCTTGAACTGTGGGGTCAAGAGGAGGGGAAAGGGTAGGGTGGCTAGGGGAC